GCCTAAACCATTGTTTGAAGTCATCAACAAGAATGGTGGAGCTACTCATTACTGAGTCCTTTTTTTTCAACATTTTATTTAGATTTTTAATTTTTTTTAGATCCGGTCTTAAACTTTTGATCAGATGAAAGCCTATTTCAGTTTAATAATTACAATAAATATTTTGCTCAGAGATGTTTTCTTTGTCTCATTCCAGATGAATCTTTTTGCTTTTTTAAAACTACTTTAAAACTATTTATACGATGGAGTAATATTAGGACCACACAATGAGATTTTTAATTTTTTTAAATTACGATAATAATGTTGCAACATTAAAGTCACAACATTATGAGGTTAAAGTCATATTAGGAAAATAAAGTTGTAATATTACAAGATTAAAGTCATATTACGAGAATAAAGTTGCAATATGAGATTAGTCATATTACAATAAAAGTCATAATATTCTAAAATTAAAATTGTCATGTAACCTTTACATGAAAATTGCATTAAAATGAGGAAAGTTGAGCAAATTGTCAAGTAGTTCTTTAGTATTGCTTAAAATAAATACTTAATCTTTTAGCTCATTTGCATCAAATTATCAGTAGCAGGACTTTGAAATGATTGTGCAAACGACTATATTTAAACTGAAGTCGTATTGTGACTGACAGATTTAGTCGTCATGTAATTTGGATGAAAGCACATGTTAGTGACCCTGTGGTGGACTACTTCATGAACAGACCTGCATGACTGTCCACAACAGCAGGTATGGGGAAAATGAGGAAATTAAAATTTAAAAAAAAAATCAGGAACAGACTTTTTCCATTTTAATAACTAATCTCATAATTTTTAAAATCTTAATTTAAGAGAGGTTTGGGTTTTTTCTGTTCAACAGTTTTTTTTTAACTATTTTTCAGTAGGAATATAGAATTATGCCTGACAAATAGAATAATTATTGAATAATGAATAAAAGTGAACGATCCCTGGTCAGATGCTGATTGGGGTCCATGGCTTGTAAACATTTGGGAACCCCTGCAACCAGGACTTTTACATCCTGCAGGACAGAACCTTACCACCAGAGGGCAGCAGCACACAGTCTGCAGAGTGAGTTTCCTCCTCCAGGGGGCAGCAGCACACACTGCAGAGTGAGTCTCCTCCTCCAGGGGGCAGCAGCACACACTGCAGAGTGAGTCTCCTCCTCCAGGGGGCAGCAGCACACACTGCAGAGTGAGTCTCCTCCTCCAGGGGGCAGCAGTGTATATTTTGAGCAGAAACGCTGCAGAAACAGAAGAAGAAGAAGAAGAAGCAGCAGCCTACTACACGGACCGAGCTGTGTTGGGACCTTCACCTGTAAAACACACCGTTACCTGCAGTCAGACCGTACCTGGGTGAAACCTGTTCAGTCTTTGGATCTCCGCTCTCTTCCGTACCACCACTCCGGGACCTCGGCGTACTCCTGCCGCAGGAGATGTTCCGCGGCCGGGCTCCATTCAGAGGTGGCTACCCGCCGCCATTTGAAGGCCGAGGTCCGCCTCCTCCGAGGCCTCATCCAGCACCACCGTACCGGGACGACCGGAGCCGGCCCAGGCCGCCTTACCACCACGACTACCGGGACCACGGGCTGGCGGACCCTTACCGTCGCTCCCCGCCGCGCAGGCCTTACCCTCCCCCCGGCCCTGGACCGGCCGGTCATCGCGGCGGAGAGGCCTGGACCGGAGGTCCTCCTGTGGAGGTTAGTGGACCCGGACCGGTTCTTTGTTTATCCTGACCTCAGTGTTTATATTTATTGTTTATTCTGACCTCAGTGTTTATATTTATTGTTTATTCTGACCTCAGTGTTTATATTT